ATCAGTTGCCATCAGCTGTGAGTTCTTCGCACAAGCGAACCGACATGGATGTCTCAGACACTTTGACAACGCAGTCATCATCATCATCATCATCATCATCATCATCATCAGTGTCAGCTGTAATAACCGCGTACTCGTCGTACAGTGCAGCCGCAGTTTCGTTCACCGATGATTTAGGGGGGCAGGTAGCTGCGCATTGCAGGCGGGAGCTGATAAATTGGTGCATAAATCCAGCACTGTCAGTTGGCCGTCAAGTGGGGTGAATGGAGGGTTGGAAAGGGAGCTATGCATTCAAGGCAATAGCTCAGATGCACGAGCACCAGTGATGACGCGAGTGAGCCATTTCGACAACGCAGTGAGTGTAACTGATACACGGCACATGAGTCCTCACTGTCTGGCCTAGAGCAAGGACAAGTATCGAAGCAAAAAACCTCGAGACAGCATACCCACCAGGTTCTTGAGAGAAAGCAATGTTTCATTAGGTCCAACCTCCTCTGTACGGAAGATGGAATCCTCAGTTCTGTTGGGGTACCCGAGTTGGATTTCGATCTACGGGGAACAATTTCTACATATCGCGGAACGTCTGATCTACAGAGAGATGAGAGAAAGTCTCGGAATAAGGGACTGCCGAGTCGGAGAGGGGATTCAACAGAGTCATGAGTATTGTGCTTCTCGGTGAAAAAGATTACTTGGAGGGTTTACCTAACACTGAAGTAATGCGAGAAAAGAAAATCAAAATATCGATCGTCCAGATTCCTATGTGTCAGATGCCCTCTTCGCAGGCGGGAAAACTCACTGTACCCTTCCATTCCAAGGTTAAAGCTAGGCTCTGTGATACTCCGACACAGCAACGCCGCGAAGCAAACCGCAGTGAATGCAAATTTTGCCCCGTAATTGCGTCAAGGCTCATGGCATGAATCTAATTGCGGTGTAAATAGACGTTACTGAAAATTAGATAGTAGTTGAAAATCACGCACACAGTGACAACACGGGTTTTCAGTAGTGTCCCATCAGGCAGGCACACAGTGACACCACGGGTTTTCAGTAGTGTCCCATCAGGCATGTACGTCAAAGTTCAAATAATAAACAAGTAAAAGGGAGAAAATTATCATGTCAGAAGGGCATTATGGAAACACGAACGTCACTGCCAACAGAAAGAAAAGCTTTTGACGCTGACTCAGACCCGGCTTCTATTTGTGAGTTGCTGTCAACGATCGAATGAAGTTTGGATCGATACGAGACTCGTCGATACGAGACTCGTTCACTAAAACATGGCCAGAAACGCCCAACGGCGGAAGATGGCATGATCCCTTTGGTTTTGTGTATTACACCAACCGAGTTGCATCAAATTTAATGCACTAAGAAACCTTGGGTGTGTCTAGGGGATGGAGAAACTTGTCGTATTGTCGTTTCTAGGCTTCTGTTTCCAGGTCATGGGCTATTTTGTATAAAACCGTGCAGGAAAACAGTCTGCGGTACATCATGATTAACGAAATTCGCTATGATCCGAGAAATTCAGCGTAATTCTTTCCAGCTTTCGAAGTCACTGTTGATTATTTGGCCCCAGCTATCCAGTTATTCATTTAATCGACAATGCTGCACTCTAACATGATCAAGCTAACGGCCGACACAAGAGCCCCATTTGGGTGCCGGTCTTGTCAGTTCGTGTTATGTGAAACTGCGTCGGATATGAAGATCACGTGACAGAAAAAATGCATACACTGCCGCCCATACCACATGGTTTGCCATCGTAGGTCTATTAAGAATCGTCAGGAAATCTTCTGAGAAGTGCAACACTTTTTCCCCAAACTGCTTTGACAGCAGGGTGCGATCGTGGATGTTTGCTTTACCCGGACATCCTCCTGCAAACTTATGATGTGATCGATCAATTCCGGTTGGTCTGCTTGATAGACGCATGTGGTCAATCGATCCAAGTTCGCTACACTATTGATCCATTCGTTGCATTAGTTTTCCCGTCCGTTGCCGGTCGAGTATTTTTTAACTAAAATGAAGCTTTGATGTTTAATCAGCTGACAGTGCTTTGAACCTGTATGTCATTTGTTCCGAGGGCTCGGAACTGTGGATTGTACGGTCTATTGTACAAATGAGGAGAACGTCGTTCCGTTGCCGTCGAGTATTTTTTAACTAAAATGAAGCTTTGATGTTTAATCAGCTGACAGTGCTTTGAACCTGTATGTCATTTGTTCCGAGGGCTCGGAACTGTGGATTGTACGGTCTATTGTACAAATGAGGAGAACGTCGTTTATCTGTGGATATCTTCCTTTTCATATGCTGTGTATTTTGCACCGTTCTGTGCCCGAACGACTACTTCCGCTAAAAAGACAGGTAGCGTTTGTCAGTACTTACCGGGTTCGAGTCCACACTGGCCATTGAATTCGAAAATCTGTGTAGACGTGAAAGCGTCTCACAACTTACTTTTGTAATTCTTCCGTTCATACCAGGTGAAAAATATTGTTGCTCTACAGCTAGCGGAAATTGACTTACGTAGAGCCTCAGATTTACCGGTAATAAACGAACAATTTCACGGCGAATGTTGAACGGTTTCCTTCCATAGACAACTTTATTAGGGAAGTGACGGTTCTAAGATCATGCTTTTGCTATCAAGAAGTGCAATGTTTGTCTTTCAGTAGATATAACGAGAAAGTGGCTCTCTTATCACTGTAGCGATCAAGAGAATAACTAGTTGGCCACTCGAACGTTCCGTTCATGCGACTGAAAGGCTTTCCATGTTTTCATCCAAATTCTCAACTACTGCTGTCAAATAAAGTAGTACATTTATTTTAATATCACTGCAGTAACAGTCCACCAAGCTCTTCGAACTCAGTACTCAAACGATACGAATCATCAGTTGCTTTTTATACATTCAGTTTATCCTAGCTACCAAGCCGGATGAATAAATCAAAAACCGCTTGATCACCTTTCAATACCTGTCCCTTTCTGATGTTGTTAACCTGCTTGGGGTAAGGAAAAGCCACAATTTATCCGCTTTGTCGAACAAATAAAAACGACTCGAATCGAAATGGCTAGTCTGTGCGGTCCTGTTCTTGATGCTTACTGGAAATGATGGACTTCAGTTTTCGTGGGGTGTCACAAACTCATATCTGCTGGGTGTAGCCTCTGTCCTCACACTGTTGTCATCAATACCGGTCCAATGACGAAAGGAATACGCTATGGTGCTCGATGCCGAAAAATTCCATCACTGAGGTGACATCCAAGCACAAAAAACTAACGAAACTTCACATATCACTCCACCAGCGTGGGATGTTGTGCTGCAGTCGGCGTTTGTTTGAAAACAAGCAGCTCCTCGGGAGGCTTGTCACACCACAAAGCTGCGAAATTACAACTCTAATTCTAGACTCATTAGGCCGAAATGGACACTATTCTGTTATCGCGCGTGGGGTGTCAAGGCTAGATGATGGTGGTCACGGGGCTAAGGTTGCATTGTGAAATTGACATTACCGGAAAAAAATTAGCTGATCCATACGGAATAACCGCACCTAAGTAACCAAGACTTTTTGAAAAAGTTTGGTGACAATCGGTAGATTTATTGCTGGGCGACGTTTCGCTTTTGACACAAAAGCTTCGTCAGGCCAAATGACTAGATTCCGAGATTGGTCGAGATTTAAGGCGGAAATAGAACCAATCAGCTACGTCAAGCTAAATCTCTGTTGGGTGTCGGCCGAGGGATTTTAGTGTGTTAGGGTGGTTGAACAAATGTTGGGTCGGTGGGGAAACCTACATGTGTTTGGGTCCAAACCAGGGTCTAGTTCTTCTGGTTCGGTCCATTTGCTGGTTCCTCTTGAACTTCGTTTGAACCTTCTGTTAGTCTGTGTGGGTGAGCTAGTGCTAAGAAAGTTGTGTAGGAGGGATGCTGTGACCTTTGGTCGGTTGGGGTTTCCACCCCNAATAATTCTAAAACCGCTTTCCATACGCTCGCCAGTTCCACACCCTCGATTCTATTCACGCTGTGATGCTTAGTGAATCCCATCGCCTCAGCGATCAGCCACTGTGATGTGAATCGCAGTCCCCGTCTTAAAACTTCCACATTGTCCAGATCTATTCTATGTCCCGTGTCTAAGGCATGTACCGCCATCGCTGAGTCTTTGACCAGCGTTTGGTACTCTTCTGTATTCCTTAGTGGTTTGTTAATCCTTCTTTTGTGCTCACCAATTCTGGTGTGCAATTCCCTGGCAGTTTGTCCTATATAGACCTTAGCGCAATCGTTGCAGTTAATTTTATACACACAGCCCCTAGTCCTTTCAGCCGGCAGGGCATCTTTCAATTGCACCAGAACTGAGCGTGGCGTTTTTCCCTTCTGAAAAGCTACTCGAATGTTGGCTAAGTTCAACAGTTTTCGAGTAACCTCCGATGCTCCTGCTTTATATGGAATGACTGCTGTGCCAATCCATTCCTTACTGGGTCTAGATACTGGAGCCAATATCTTTCTTGGTTGATGCCTAATAAACTTCACTGGGTATCCTATTTCTTGAAGTTTGTTGGCACTCTCAATTTGAGCTGCCATTCGGTCGATCTCTTCTGTGCACAGCGCTCTAACTCGACGAAACTTCGATGAGACAATACTGGCGTACACGGACTTTGGGTAATATGATGAATAGCTTAAGACGGTTCCTGCATCTGTTGGTTTCTGGTAGATAGTCGTTTTCAATTTCCCACCAATCGTATGTGTTATACAGTCCGGAAAATGGTAATGTGCCCGAAGTGGACTCTATTTCCGTGCTCAGCTTAGTGTGTGGGTTTAAACTATTGAGACAGTCACGGAAGCAGTTCACGTTATCTCGTTTGATTACAACAAACGTGTCGTCAACATAACGCCAAAAAACTTTGTTCAAGGTCCTCCATGTAAATATTGGCTAAAACTGAGGATATTGGAGATCTCATTGAAAGGCTTTGTTCTTGTGAGTAAACAGTTGTGTCAAAAACAAGAGTTAGCTTATCTCCTCTTGTGATTTTTTGTTCAGGACTATGGGGATTCAAACAGGGCCGATCGTTTCTTGATTGAGCACCACTTATAAGGTTTCTCAATGTATTATGGACGAAGAACATGCAATTTCATCTGAAGTATCTTCCAAGATGAACCAGCCGGCAAAATTTCGGGACACAAGCCAAGAGATCAATAACACACACACATACACGATGTTCACACTTCCCGTTCCAATTCAAGGCCGAATCGAGTCGACCGAATGCAATTATCTTCCGCAAAACATCGCCGTACCACTACTGACTAATTGCATTAGAAAGCTTCTCAGGAGAATGAGTCACCGAACACGTTCGCCCAACCCGACGGGGATAGTAGATCTGATAACTTGGTAAGAAGCGGGAACAAACGAATGCATAATTTTTGCCATTAATCAATCAATCATACTTTTTATCCGCCAATGTAGGTTGAATACGTATCACTTTCATCAACAGCATGTGATCGATAAACTTCGCCCGACTTCGCCTGGACTAGAGAGAATTAATGCTACGGGTAATGATTCACCACGTGTTCCTTCAAGTATGATTCTGTGCGAGGAATTTCTCTTCAAACGAACAAATCAATGCATGTCCTGTTGGATTGCGCTCCATTCCTGCATCCAATCGAGTAAGAAGTTAATTAAACTGCAATAAAAACTGCGTTTGAAGCGAGCAAGCTGCTTTGAGAGTGAATCACTTGTGAAGTAAGAAGACAGGAATAAGACAGAAAGTGGATTTTGTCGCGGATATGCTGTGAAAACTTCATTGATTTTTCTGTGGCCAGTTTTTATATCAGTCATGCTTAGATCGATTTTTTGGGTGATGATGTAAAGTCTATTTTGCATTCTAAATATGTGATCCGGAAATGCGTCACGTAATTATTGATCGTGATTAATGGTAAACTATGGAACACTTGGAAAGCTTCCATCAAAACAACGCCTAAGAGACCATCCCCGAACTTCCATCTCAAAGTACAACTGCTAAGTGATTTTACCAAGGAGAAGACTAAAGGACAACAGTGAAATAGTCAGGTCAGCAACGTTTGTAACAAATTCTCTGCTGAAAAATATGGATAGTGTACACGAGCAAAAAACAACAAGGTGGAAAATATTGAAAGACAATCTCCACACGCAAGAACCCAGAAAGCATCAAGTTCATTTTGCAAAAGCTGAAAGTGCGATGGGAAAGGGAATGCCTCGAAACATGACAAACTGAATCCAATCTGGGCGACAGCATGTACAGAAGATACGCCACTCTATCGGAATACTCAGACGGACCACACGAGAAAACCAAGGATCTGTTAGTACTCTAGTTGTGATGTCATTAAGTTGATTATCAGAAGGTAACAAGCACTAACAGAGGTCTGTCTTACTATAACGTGATGAATACAATAGTTAGGTACACTGGATAAAAATAGATACAATGCGAAAAGTGGAATAAGCCAAAAAAAAAGTGACTTATCGTTTGAGGACACTTTTTGAGAATTCCTGAGGGAAGTTCCGGAGTGTCTTCTCTGCGGTATAGCTGCTACCTGTGTTCCGTAGTTGCCGTGGAGACTTGCGGAGGTCTGTTGACTTCCTGTCCTGTGCACGCGAGTGTGTGTGTTGAGCCTAGTTGTATGCCCATTTATTGTGTGCACTGCAAAGAGAAGGGTGTCCCTTCTCTTTTGATACTTGCACGAACATGAATACAACTTGATCTGATGTGTTGAATGAAGTTCATGATCCTGGCGCGTTACGCAAGTGGTAACCGCGTAAACGAAAATGGTTGAGAAGTTTTGCTGTACATGTTGACGCCTAAGGTTGTAAGTGGGACAGGAATTGTCACGTGGTTTGAGTTTTGTGACGCGTGATCTGATGAGTGACCTCTCCTTAGCGAAAGAGAGAATTAGGTGCTGATGGTAGGCGATGCTCGTAGTTGTGGGGCAAACAAGCTAATAGACAATCTATGTGGATGTACTAATAAAATTAGTTCCAGGGGTAAGTAGACAGGAGGGTAGCCGCTACAGATCAGAACAAGCCATCATTGGGGGTCTACCGAAGAGAAAACAGGCTAACAGATTAGCCATCCAGCCAGTTATAACTGGAAATAATTATGGGCTAGCAGCACGCGTGGTGAATGGCTCATAAAGACCCAGTGCACAGTTATAAACGCTTCGAACTGATGATACTTCGAGTACTGATGGTCAAACGTTTACAACTGAAGTGTCCGGCTAAGTCAGTAAACCAAAATTCACCGTCCGATTGCATGTTCATTCATTTAAACGACCTATCGGGTGTCCTTGTGCGTATTCAAGAGCAAACAGCAAAACCTTTGATCATTGATGGTTGTCTTCGCTAAAAACTTGGTGAAGAACCATGGATGCACAAATGACAGGAAAGAACGGGAAAGAGAGCCCGGGGACGAGCGAACCATGCTACCTTCCCCCAAAAGAGAATGACTTCGTCAGTGTGACCGAGGGATGGAAGATGGTCGCAGATCTTTCATATAACTCTTTGTTATATCTGCTGATTAGCCGTCCTGTGTTATCTGCTGCTGACCCGCTTCAGTGCATAGTGCTGGAAAAAAAAAAAAACAGAAGGGAATACAACAGCTATATTCCGAACAAGCGAGTGAGTGCGTGCGCGATCAAACGTTACAACGGCCCCACGCCATTTAAACGGCCATTTAAAGAAGACTTTCTGATACTGATCTAGACTGTGTTGGAATATTGGTAGCTCGGGTTTATTGGTTGGTAATTGATCAGGTGGCTGTTGATCTGTTCGCCGAGCTTGGCAACGGATTTGCAAATCAGCCACCTGATCAATTACCAATTAATCTAGTCTGTCTCATAGGCGTTAGTTAACACCCATCAACATCGATCATGCTTCTAGGAAATGCCTGAACACTGATCACATTCGGTCGTGGTTCTGTGGCGTACAAGAACGCTCATCAGCTGTTGCTAAATTGATTGAATGATTGACCGGTCAGGATGCTTGCCGGCTTTCCTGTTGAGATTTTGATGGAGCAGTAAGTTCCGGGCATTCTGAGGTTACTTTCAGAAATCTGACCTTCCTGATACTCTTATTCTTGAGAAGTAACTCGAAAAGACTGAACAACGCCTCTTCTTGGAGTGTGAGAGAACAACCGGAAGTAACCTTAAGAGAGCGTTTTTAACGTACTCTGAAGTTTATGACAAAAGTCCTAGCGAATCAAATACACATTCGTGACAACGACTGACGTTCAGTAACGTAAAGTAACCAAACTGGATAGGCTGTTTCATCCTGTTCCATTGGAACATCTGTAAAGTCAAGACTGCTCCTCGGAAACTGGTTTCTCCATTGGGAGTAGTCTCGAAGCAGTTGACAGTTGTGGACTTGTATTTGCCGGTGCGCTGTTCCAACCAGTTTGTCTCACTTGGTCAACAGATATCACGGCAAAGTGAAAACTGTACGATTCATTCGATGGCATCATGCCCTGTTTTTAATGAACAACTGCCGTCATTCCTTCCATTATGGTATCTGAGAACTGCTTTGGGACTTTCGAAGGTGATCATATGGCATTGTCAGGTTGATACAGAAAAAACACAGGTGTTGTTGTAGTGTGATAGGGGCGACCTCAAAGGGAGAAGGCAGATTAAATTAACCAACTAATCGGCTAGAAATTTCTGGTGAAATTCGCAATCATTTGTTACGCTTTTAGTCTCCTGAAGAAAAGTGCTTTTCACTTGCAAGCAATTATTTTACTATTACCGGAAAAGTTACATTCACCTGCATAAATATCGGTAAGAATGTTTTCGCACTGCGTGGTCGTTCGCGAGTTAATAAAACTTTCAACGGCGACTGACTTCGTGTTCCGGACTGGCATCCGTCTGGTTGTCATAGCTGCGATGGAGTCAACGTCGGTCCGAAATTGGAAACGGTCTAATGCACTCACTAATCTGTTCTGATCAAAACTGTCTGGAGTTGAAAGCTGGAAACACAGGAACCTACTTACCTCGTAATAGCAATGTGACACACACAGGTTGCAGCGTCACCCATCCTATACTCACGGAATGTGCGCCACGCGGGTCTTCAATTATGACGTCTCAGAGGGAAAGACCACTTTAGATTGTTCTTCCTTTCTGATAGTGACTCCCTGTTTTTTCCAAGTGTCTGGAGAACGGCGTAGTTGAACTTGCCACACCATTCAACCTTAATCGCTGTCGTGTCGTTTTGTTTCAAATGACGAATGATTTCCCCGAATGAACGTCTCGGCGTTTCAGTGCTAAATGAAACTTTTCGGAGAAACGAACGCTCACAGAGTCGCTTGAACTTGGAATACATTTAGAGTTGACATCTTGGTGACCAGTGAACATTGCAAACATTGCAACCTGCTTGCGGAAAATAAAAGAACAAACTTGCACCACCGTCTGATCTACGGTTGTTCCAAAGTCAAATAAATGCCAAACGTGTTTAGGTTTTATCGAAAATCTCTAAGGAAACCTGTTTCTTTGCGGACCGTTTTCCATCATGGCTTACATCTACATTAGAGTCGCTCCGCTCTTTTGCCATCAGTCGTCGACCAGCCGTGTGGTCAACCCGTACCTAAGCAGGACACAGCACCGTTCATTCTTCAATCACCACGTGTGTTGTCTGGTTGCTCGGATGGCAGTTCTCCAGAACGAGGGCTCCCGTTGATTCTGGTTTGTTCAGTGCGTAAGTATTAAGAAAGTTAGATTCCTGAAAGTAACCCAAGCACCCCCGGAACCTACTGAGACCCTAAAACTCCACCAGAATCTCAATAGGAAAGTTGTCAGGCACCCAGGCCAGTCAATCATTCAATCAGTTCAGCAAAAGCCGATGAGTGTTTGCGTAAGTATTAAGAAAGTTAGATTCCTGAAAGTAACCCAAGCACCCCCGGAACCTACTGAGACCCTAAAACTCCACCAGAATCTCAATAGGAAAGTTGTCAGGCACCCAGGCCAGTCAATCATTCAATCAGTTCAGCAAAAGCCGATGAGTGTTCATGCACGTCACAAAAGGACGACCGAATGTGATGAGCGTTCAGGCATTTCATAGAGGCACGATCGTTGTTGATG